TGAGTGTAGCTCATCAATTTTCTTTACTCACAAACAATTATCTTATTGGTTAATGAGAAAGTCATGTTGAGTCTGAAACTAAAAGAGCTAATGCAATAAACAATCAATAATATATAAACCTATTTTCGTGTCATATTCTTTCATTCTCAATCTTTGATGGTTCTATTGCAACTTGTAATAGATAGTATATTATTAATTCAAAATTTATTTTATTTCTAATATTGAGCTACTCTTATTGTTTTTTAATGATGTCATATTTATTTGTAGAAAGGATTTTATTTACAAGGCAAATCAAGTAACATTAACATGTCTTCAATTAATCAATGTCGAACGTCAAAATGAAATGATTAATATTCGATTTATTCGTGCAGTTGTAGAAAGTTATATAGTAAAGATTAAGATTCTTTTTATTTTTCTTGAAATTTATGTGGAAAATTTTAGTCGAACTAGGCTTTGAGGAAAATTCATCTGTACCAAATAGTAATGATCAAATAATATCTCCACCATTGAAAATTTATAAAGATTACTTTGAAGTACCATTTTTTCAATATACAGAACAATTTTATCGTTAGGAAGCATCTAATTTTCTTATTCACAATTCTATATCTGAATATTTAAAAAAAGTTTATATTTATTTATAAAAATGATAAAACATATTTAATCTTAATTTTAATAGGTATCACGATGGATTGATGAAGAATTACATCGAGTACAATCATATTTACATTCATCAACATCAGCATCTTTAATTAAAAAAACTTGAACAAATATTTATTCTTGATTATAACTTGAAGCAATCTATACTGAAGCAAAAACACTTTCACATGATGAAAACTATTCATGTATAGAAACAAAAATTTATCAACATAAAATTGATCTAGAAAATTTCATATGAACAATTCTAAATGATTTATTTTTTAATAGATTTTGCATGTCTATTCAAATCAACTGATAAAATACCAAATGTAATTGTTCAATTGAAAAAAAATTTTAAAGACAATTTTCTTCCAAAAGGTATTCAATCTATGGAATGAATTAGTATCACTGCAATTAATGTAAAACTAATTTACCATTGTTTATCTGTGGTTTGTTTTTAGGAT